ATGGGTGGGTTTCTTGGGGTATACGGTATTTTCATGTTTCTACCTGTTTTGTAATTTATTTTCTGCTTTTCTTTGCTCTTCGATTCTTGATTATGAATAATAAATAAAATAAGACACCTTATGCTTTCTTCATACGACAAATCCAAAGATATTGAGTTTCGGAGACATTATTGCCATACATCAAAAGACATTCTTATGAAATGAAACCAAAAACATAATAACTTGATTCATCATAACCTCAGCATTGTCGATCAATCATCTCTCGGAGTTTATTGTGACTTTTGGCTTCCGGTGACATCTTTAAGCTTCCCCTCTAACTCACCTTCCTGGAATTGTGATAAGGAAATGGGGACCATAAGCTAACACAAATGTAAAACAGGACTACAAAGAAAAAAGGGTATGTTATCCTGGTGACACAAACCTTGTGCATGTTAAGAATGATGTCTGACCCGCCGATAAACTCTCCCTTGATGAAGATCTGTGGAAATGTAGGCCAATGGCTGTACAGAAGGAAAGTTTCATGAATCAAATCAAGACTAACGAAGAAATTTTTTAGTCGTAGAAGCGTCTAAATTATACAAATTCCCCATCTTACACCTTTAAGAACAGACCAAGAAGGTGACTTATCAAAAACATTACAGCTCTCACTATCTATGAAGCACAATCTCACCTGAAGGATTTCACGGCGTTTTTCAACTCTTGATCTTCTAGAATGTTTCTAGAACTGATAGGAACATCTGAAGAAGAGAGGGCATCACAATCAGAACTCACAAGACATTAGATTCAAAGCTTTTAAACAAAAGGGATAGCTTCAATTCCAGATCTACAAAGTCACATGAAATGAAAACTTACTATAGTGTTGCAAAACTCTTACGGCTAGTGAGCTAAACCCACACTGAGGAGATTCAGGGATTCCTTTCATGTATATCATAACAGGATTTTCCTTCACGTCCTACACAAACCAAAAGCCTAAAAAGCATTACAAACCTGAAAACAGAAAGACATCAACTTCAAATCAGAAAAGCTGGAGTCTTTTACATTCTCAACAATGTCCTTGAGTGAGTCCGTAGAACCAGAAGGGACTTTCTGTGTAGGCTTGAAATCATCATGTGTGTCTGAATCACTAGGCACTGTAGATGAGTATCTCATAAACCCATTTTGATAAACTGATGCAGTTGCCTATAAAACAGAAAACCACACATGATTCTAAATCAATCTGATTTCACCGGATTCAAAATCAAAACAGACAACGCAAGAACACCACCAAGATGTTATAAAAGGAACAATTTTTAAGTGATTCAAGATTGGAAAAAGAGGAAATTTGATTTGACCATATATCAATCGAATTTAAGAGTTTTGAGAGGAATCTAACCAATCTGGTGGAACGAACAGCTTGGAGGTTAGCGATTCCCTTCATAACTCTTGTAGACAAAGAAGCAGCCATCTCTAAATCACGCAGATTTAATTCAACCCACCAAAAAAAGTTCTCCGATTTTGATCAAACAAAGGTCTTGAAATATCAAATTGTCGTAGAAAGATTTCTTTTTTAGGGATTTGATCTTAGGAAAATTTGCTACAGACTCTTCTAAAAGAGAGTGTTGCGACCGCTTCTCTCTCTCTCTCAATGACCGAACAAGAAACGGCGTCGTGTCATAACCCTAAGGTGTTTATACTTTATACGGTGTCGTTTTTTGTGTGGTCAGTGGAAGCGTTCGTCCGTTGACTTCTTGATTTTTGGTTCGGTTTATTTGATTCGTTCGGTTTAATATAATTCACCGTTAAATAGGGGTAAATAATTTGTGAATATTATAGAAAATGCCATTATTTTTAAAAGTTCTGGTTGAAAATGCTATTATTTTGATATCTTGTCAAAATTGCCACATTGTGGCAATTACACATCATCAAAAAGACATATTTGCTCCTTATCTTCAACAATTCTTTTCCACACATTTTATTTTCTTTCTCTAAAAAACAGA